CGGACCCTGAACAAAACGAGGGTATGAAATTTCCATGCTCTTTTCCATTCCTTCATTTCAAGCTAACCAAACGCCACAATTGCTGCCTCAAACATGACATAGAAATGCAAATGCTTCGTCCAGTTTTTGGGAGTGGAGATGACCAAAAGCCCAAAGCGTTGTCTAAGGGCCTTGCTCAATGGGGGTTATATAGGGGTTATATTGGGGTGGCATAGGAATAATGGAAAAGAAAACGGAAACTTTAGGGATTATATAGGGTTTAAATAGGGGGGGTATCTAGTAGGACTTAAGAATGTTCATCAAGCAAGCGGCTTGCGACATCAGCATACATGGATCATGGAGCTGTTAAGTTCTTTCAGCGGTTAGGATGTCGCACCTAAGAAACGAATGAGGGAATATTCTGGAAAATTCTGACGCATGCCATGAAAGGGAACCCGAAACACGAGGTGAGATGAAAGAAAAACAGAACAGAAGATTTCTCGAACAAACGCCACTGCAATAATGCATGGAGGCCATATTCACGTTGTCAGGTGTAAACATCTTGATAAGTGAAGCCAAACCGCAGCCCAAAATAAGAAAGCACAAGCTTGAGGGTTTGGGGCTTCGCATCGAAAGTTTGAGTCCCAAACCCTGATTCTGGCCCAACCCCAGAAGTTCTGATTAGATCTTGTATAGTCTGGGAGAAATCTCACAAGTAGTTTGGCGTCCTGCTCCGGGACCACATGAGCTATAGCCTAAACTCCTACTATCCCCCTCAATAACCCCTTTAATACTCCCCAATATAATCCCTTCTATAATCCCCTTTAAGGAGTTTTCACTACAGCTCACATGGTGAACTACAAGATCTTCACCTGACCCATAGCATTCCTACAGAGTTGCTGCATCGTGCCTATATCATCAAGCAATTTGTCACATTGCCCCTGCGTGATCCTCATGGAGAGCCCACTCTCCCTTAGTAATTCTACGTATCCCCAAAATCCTTGATGACTCCTTCTTGAGAACCTCATCTCCTAGTCAATGCCTCTGTAGTTTGGGGTCAAGAGGTGAGTCCCAAAGCTGGAGAATCTACGAAATGCACTTGGTGGGTCTACAGATTCTTCTTAAACTGAAACACCTCCGCGCAAACATTTCCCGCAACACACCTTGTGTATCAGGGATATGTTCAACATTGTGGGGAGGGTTCCTTAAATCTAGCTGGTGGTTAGTAGGGGATGGGGCACTGTAAGGGATTCTGTATGGTCTACGGATTCACTTCCTCATTCCTTACTAAGCACCAGGTAGCACTTTGGGGGTTTCTCACAAGGCAAGGACTTAGGGGACCCCAGAAACATCTAGGGATCTAGATACACATATATATACATATATATATATATGTAGGGATTATATAGGAAATATCATGTCCTTAGTTGTGACTATTACGGGTTCTTTTTAGAAGCCCGAATGGTTACAAATGCCAAGCCCAGGACCACGCACTTGGAAGGCATGCGAGGGAAACATCTCCAGGATGCAGGCTTGCATGGCGAGAATTTAGGTCTAGAGTTTAGGGGCCTAACTCGGCTGAATTGCCTTCCAGTCAAGAACCGAAATTCTCCATCACCGGGGCCTGGCTTGTGCATCAGTGCCTCGGCCTTTTTGCAAGGGGTTGCCGTCAGGTGACGCAAGGTTGTCTCAGGTTCTGTGTCTTGCTACTGCGGCCGGGATTTCGTGGGCCCTAAGATGTGGGCTTGGCCTTGTCATGTGGGCGCAAGGTTTGGGCTTGCTTCTGGGGCTTGACATTGACCCTTTTTGCAAATTGCACTGGTATCAGCTTGAAAGAAAAATCGCTTTGGCACAATCGAGAGACAGACTCTCAAGCCACGTTCCAAGAACGAACGTCTCTACGAAGCCGCAGAATGCCACGTGAAAGACTCGTGAAGGAATGTCATGCTAGCCCGCTCTTCTTTTGCCAGGCCTCGCAAATCCAAAAATGCACAGAAGCGGAACAGAATCACAACTCGCATCCAACACCATCTAGACTAGATCTTCGACACCTGGCACTTTGGCAGAAACAAGCATGTGAGCCAGTCTAAACTCCAAGTATCCCCTTTGATAACCCATGTAGTAGTCCCCTATATAATCCCACCTTAAGGAGTTTAGACTACAGCTCATGCTAGAGTTCTGGATGCTTGAAGTCAGACCCTTGGTCAGTGCCTGGCGTCGCAACAACACTGCGACTAAGACAAGATCAAGACCACACCATGGCTCTGGTGTGTATCAACCGAGTTGCTGTTAAGGAACTTAAATTAAGTTACATTAACACGGGTAAATAACAGGGTTTCCTTGTTATAGTAACTTGGTTAGATTTGATTAATAGCACTCCAGTCAAGTCTCGCTGGAGGAACGTAACCATCTTTGCGCATCCGCGCTTGTGAGCTCCTATACTCGCTCTATGGCCTGCAGAATTCCAGTACTACAGCAAGGCACATCAACGAATGCAATTACCGCAGAATTTCAATCTCAAATCATATTCGCCTGCAGCGGAGACAGCGACTCCTTGAAGGCGTCTCCTAACCAAACCCGAAACGTGAGGGGAGGCTTCATTCACTTCTCTTTTCAATATGATTTTCCAGTAGTTGAACTATTTGAGCCTCCCAACTGTGACCCAGACCCTGAATTCCTAAATATCCCGTCTAACGGGCCCATTGTTCTCGAGACTGTCCTAGGAATTTGGGCCACTGGCTCCTTCAGCAATAGAAATCCTGCAGAGCCCATGGGCTTCACTGTCTGTCGGCCCCTCGTGCTCAAAGGAACCTGTGACTCAGGGTTTCAGGGTTCAGGGTTTAGGGTTTGGGGCTTAGGGCTTTTAGGGTTTAGGGTTTAGGGTTTGGGGTTTGGGGTTTCAGGGCCTTGGGGGTTTGCGGTGACTTGAAGGTTTCCCAAAATTAGAGGTCCCATTTGGGGGAGTCCCCATAGTAAGGATTGTAGTATTAGGGGGTCTATGTTTGGGTCCCCCTATTTTGTGAAACCACCATTTGTGAGCTGGTTTATTGCTTCAGGGCTTTGGGGGTTTGAGGGTTTAGGGCCCGTTTGAGGTTTGGAGCATTGGGGCCTAGGGTTCAGGGTAAACCTTAATCCTAGTCCTAAACCCTATCATATAGGGCCCTATATATCCCTATATACTCCTATATGACTCCTAGAATTCCCAAAAAAAGATAGTTGAGGCAAGTTTAGGGAGTTTTGAAGACAAGGGGAAAAACAACTGAGACCTTCTGGAAGCTTAAACCCTGTGATGTGCTACGTCTGTATACAGCTTTGCGGACAAAGGCGTCGAATTTCCTTGGAAGCCGTGTCATTCCCTCGGATCACTCAACAAAGTAAACCTCAATCCCTGAAGCTCTTTTTAAAAGCCCCTGGATTTGCTCTTAAGTAGATAGAATATGGCTTTGGGTATATTACAATAGGTTCCCCATAGACCCCAGGTTCTATCTACTTAAGGGGGACTCTGAGTAGAGTGATCAAACCCAAGTTGCCCCTTCAGCTAATCGAGGCTAAGATGCTGGAAGCATGGGGTGTCAGCGCACCCTGGCCTATCATTCTTTCGCCCGATGGACGCGGACACAACAAGGCTGAACGGCCGGCGGCCGGCACAGCTGACAAAATGCTGTGCGAAAAAAGTCTTGCAATAGTGAACAACCTTATCTGCAAAGGTGCAGAACACATCTGCCCCACCCACCTCGGGCAAGCACGTTTCGAAACAAAGGGTGCTGATGCCTAGACGCAAGCACAGCAAACCGAAATCTCATACGACACATGGCCACAGTTATCCACGAGTCTAGTTCTGCGTGGGCCTGAGGCACGCGAACCGCACCCAACACTCTGAACTCCAAGCCTTAAACCCGAGACCTTAACCCTCTTTTCAAAACTGCTGTCAAGAAGCTTCTTCTTCAGCCTCTCGATGTCCTCCCTCTTGACCTTGGCATCCACCTTCGCCTGCATCTTGAAGGGGTTATAGTACAACAGCACCAGGTACCTGCGCAAAGAGGGCAACCACCGTGTTTTGAAGACATGTGAGCTATTGTCTAACCTCCTATGGGGATCATATATGATTATATAGGGGAGTATTAGCGGGGTTATTAAGAGGATACTGGCAATGCTCATGTGGAAAGTTCTCAAAGCAGGGGGCCCCAGGAACTTCAAGGGATGTGCAAGGAGATCAATGGGAGGGATCCTGACTAGGCAGTCTATAGGGATTGTTTTGAGATGTACCCATGTTCCTGCTGTCAAGGCACATTCGTCACTAGTGTGTTCAGCCTTCGCATCATATTAATTCAGAGCTATGTCCCTGATCTATTTCGCTGCTTACAAGCGCAGGGACGTCTAGCAGATTCATGCAACATCTGCGTAAAGTGGGAGAGAACCATTGGCTGAAACCTTGGCAAACTGGCAGCCGCGCCGTCCCGCGACGTTGAAGCCACTCAAGTGATCCATAGCATTCTTGGCCTGGGGTTTAGGGCTTAGGGTATGAGGCTTGCGGCTTAGGGCTTAGGGGGCTTCGAGCAATGGGCGTGGTCACCCGGAACCTCAACTGCAACCTTATTTTTTATTTCAGTAAATGAGCTATTTGTCTAAACTCCTAATATCCCCCTGAATGACCCCGATTATAGTCCCCAAGATAATCCCCTAAATAGCCCCTCTTAGGAGTTTAGACTACAGCTCACAGACTAAAAGGTTGATAGTTCGGTTGCGAGGTCTTAAGGGTTTTGGGGCCCTGCCATGATACAAAGAGGTCTTCAACGCTTGGCACTTCTAACCCATTTCATGATCCATCTTCTTTTCCATTTGATTCTCCATTATTGGGGGGGGGTTAATACTGTCTACTTAACCCTAAACCCTAAACCCTTGGAAGGCTGCAGCCATGCTGAAAGCATGATGAATACTGCGCACTGGACGGTGGATGGGACCCAGAATGTCTCAAAGGACCCTATAGGGTTTAGGGTTTAGGGTTCTTTTGTTTTTTTTGTCAGGCTTTTTTCCTCTGCAGGAATGCTGTGCCAGCAAGGCCAGGTTGACAGCCACACATCCCACTTACAAGGATTGCAGGCTTTCCCGTTTGCACATGCTTTGCAGTACTCTCGGTTGGTAGAAAAAGGGCTCGGACAAGCAATGCCGCTCCTGTGCAGAGCATGCACCCTGTCAGCCACACTGAAACCCTACCCTTTCCCGGAGCCCTGACCCTCACTTTGCCCTGGAACTCGTCACTCGGACTCACCTGATCTCACTCCATCCGGTGCCGCAGCGCTCTGCTTCTCCACGTTCTTCTCGACCGCAGCCGCCATCGCTGAGGCATCCACAGCAGCTGCCGCTGCCAGTTCTGACGTTTCTCCACTCGCCAGCGTCCGTGCACTCGCCGCCTGTCCTGTATCTTGATCTTCATCTCGGCCTTCTTCATCTGCAGGACGGTCTTCTGCAGTGTCTTCTTCGACATCACCTTCGGCTCCCGGCAGCTTAGCCAACCCTGGCACCCCCGGGTCCTTCCTGATGATTGCCAGCTTGCGAAACCACATCAGGAGCCCATTTCCTCCAGCCCGACGAACAACTTGGTCTGTGATGTAGCCCGCATGCCAGGCTTCAAACCTGGCCAAGTTGTAGCCCATCTCTCCTGCCGGGAAGGGAGCGTCCTGGACGATTTGGCTCTCATCCATGCCCTCGCCCCCGTCTGGGAAGAGGTCTTGCTTCCATTCTCTTAAGGTCTGGAGCATGACCTCTCTTTGTGCCGGGCCCACCTGCCTAGCCAATTCGCTCTGCTGGGCTCCCTCTGCTGCTTGTGAGGCTGAGTCCCGGCCCATCTTGAGGGCTCGCACGAACTGGGCGACCATGTTCCATCCCCATCTTGCAGCGACGGTGTTGTCGTCCATGCAGCCCGATCTCCACAGGTGGAAGTAGTCCTTTGCCTGCGGGGGAACAAGCTCTTCACCTTCGCTGTCTACTGCCTCTCCTTCGAACTGGCACAGCTGAGTAGCAGCTTCGAAGGTCTCCTCGTCCGCCGCCTCCCTGGCTTCCCGGTCGAGTTGTTGTGGTGGGCTGGATTGGTGTGGTAGCTCTTCTGCTTCTTGCTGCGGTGCTACAGCAGCTTCGTCCTCACTGGAGCTCGCGTCCTCAGCTGTGAATCGGAAGCTGAGTCCTTCAGCGCTGGTAGCCGTTGTGGGTACGGTAGCAGTCGCCACCACTTGTCCACTCCTGTCCTGGACTTGCACTGCAACTCTTACCCGCTTGGGTGTCGGCTGCCCCTGCATTTTGGGTTTAGGGTTTAGGGTTTAGGGTTTTTTTTTACAACCCCTCGGACTTTTACTGTCTGCCGCATCGACAGGGGGTTCTTACCTCCTCTTAGCAGTCGGAAAGAAGGCTGCATGCCACCCATGCGATTCACACAAGTGGTTCGCCTATGAAGAAAATCTCCATTATACGGTTCAAGTAGGCTACCCCTCATATCTCCTTTGGCAGCGCAGACTTTGCCATGTCGACCCCCTTCTCACCGCATTTTTCCTCTTCTGAGGCTCCCTTCTCCATGCTTCCCAGCCCTTCGACTTTGTCTGACCCCTTGGTCTAGGGTTTAGGGTTTAGGGTTTAGGGTAAACTTATAACCAAACTTCCTGCAAGGGAGACCTGAATAGCCAAACAGTTTGCTTTTGGGCAAAATTCTCCTAGCTACCAATTGTTCAGATTCTCTCAGCACCCTGTTACAGTCCCCTTAAGTAGATAGAATATGGGGTATATGGGATTCTTATTACAATATACCCGAAGCCATATTCTATCTACTCGGGGGACTATACATTCTTGGGGATCGAGGAATTGAGTATTGTGGGCTCGTCAAGGGAGGCCCGGACACGCCTGCAGCCTGAAGACCTCACAGGGGTTTCAAATAGGGGTATAGTATAAAGTTAATATAGGGGTTATATAGGGTAATGGAGAAACTACTATACGGGTACATTTTGGGATGTATAGGGTTGATGGAAACTAAAATGGAAACTGTTATAATGGAGTGATATCACCGTCTCCTGCGTTGACAGGTTCCTTCCCGACCCTAAAGCCTGCTCAGGCCCCTGTCGCACTCTTGGGGTCAGACGTCGTAGATGTCGTCGTAGACCACAAAGCAGGTGCCCCTTGTCTCAGGGCCTGGGTTTGGGGCTTTAGCTTTGGAGCTTTGGATTTGAAGTTGAGGGTTGGGCGCTAGGAATTCACAGTCATGCCTGAGAATATAGAGGTAATATAGATGTAATATAGCGGTAGTATAGGGGTAATGTGGGGGTGATTTGGATGTTTGTACCTGGCTACCTCAGCCACCCCAGACTTTTTCTGGGTCTGGAAGTTCGAGGTTGGAAAATGAAATGACCACCAGGGATTCTTTTCATTTCCAGACGTACCGCTATATACCATGTCTTCTTGACCCAGACTTCCATTTCCTTTCCCATTCCCCATATAGCCCGGTGAAACCCCACGGTCGAAACCTATTTACGGCGGTTTACCCCACATTCACGCCCCATATCATATCCTAAAATCATTTCGATATCCCCGTATTCCACCCTTTCATCCCTAAAAAAACCCTTCTGAGCTCCAGTCTACACTCCTCGTATCCCCCTCACTAAGCCCTAACCCTAAACCCTATACAGTACCCTTTCCAACCTAGCTTTATAGAGTTTACACTCTAGCTCATATATATATATACATGAAAATATAGAGTTATGTAGTTATATAAATATACACATTCACGAATTCAAGTCCTAATCAGGGTCCTGCAGAGAGGCCCCAGATAGCTTGAAACTGAAAGCCGAACCAACCCGTGCTGAGGGTTTAGCGTTTAGGAGCTAAGACTGGGTTCAGGATTTCGGGCCTTGGAGCGGATTTGGGGTGTTTGGGTCCATGACAAGAAACGCAGCGGGTCCTGCTCAATGAGCCGAACGCTGCACTGTGCTTCCCAAGGGTAGTATGGGCCAGGCCCCATATGAACCATAGTCTGAACCCCTAGTATGCCCCTTAATGACCCCTAAAGTACACCCTATATAAGTTCTGAGGCCTCAGGGAATCAGGGTTTAGGGCTTACGGGTGCCGGCACATTTGCGGCGTTGCTATTTGGATTCTTCCAGTGCGATTTGGGCATCGATATCCGTCAAAGGTCGATCAGGATCTTATGGAGGCTTCCCAACGTGTTCCCATGCTAGCAGAGACCCCCTGCATGATCTGTTTGTAATGCCTTTTTATTTCCAGCGTCTGGAAAGGTGACGTCAAGACCCCTCTTATCAGCCTTATCAGCCTTGGTTTCCGAGTCAGCTGTGAAGGTGGAGTGTCTTGAAGAAGGCGAGTCTTGGGGACTCTGGGAAATCATGGCGGGTAACAAGCGTAAGCATCCAAGCTCTGCACCGTTGCCACGGCGGATCTGACGAATCGAGCCGTACTTGCCAAAGATATCGTAAAGCTCATCTGCACCTCAGAACTGCTTAGGGTTTAGGGTTTAGGCTTTAGGGTTTAGGGCTCATTTGCACCTCAGAACTTGAGAGGCGAGATATGGGGGAGGTTTCGCGAGAAGCTTGGGGGGGGCAGTGCCTAGCGCGGCAGAGATATGCGTAGAATATTAAGGGATTGTAACGGGGGCCCCACTACAGACCCAATACATGACAATAATCATCATGTGAGTGACTGTCAACAAAGAAGCTGCCAAGCTTTGAAAACCCTCAGCCGCATAGATTCATGTAGATCCCTGTGGATCCCCATCTAATCCCCACAACCACTTTAAAGAAGCCCTAAATTCGAAACCCCCATGAATGCGCATACATCGCGCTATGGGCCTCAGATGGAGGTGCACTGGGCGGGCCTAGGAGATTTTTTGGCGTTGGGGAGGACGCCCAGAGACGCATTTGACATGGAGATACTTGGAAGGTCAGGATTGCAGAACCAGCAATATGTCACCAGCAATCTCGGTGCTTGGCTGATCTTGTAGGGCAAGTTGCGGACATACAGGATTCCTGAGATTCCGGGCAAGAAGGCAAGTACAAAGGCGAAGCGGGGCCAGGGATATCCAACCTTGCAAGCTTCATGTGACTTGCCCCGCAAGGCCATCATGAACCATGGCCATACACCTTCAATTAAAGCCAACCACATACCCTGGAAGGTGTTGCTTCACAGCAGTAAACAAAGACACCAACTGACCGCTGTATCTTTTAGTGCGCCTCGCTCGGTGTGTGTAGTAGACCCGATTTAATGCCAGACAGGGCTCTGGAACCACACAAAGGTCCGAGGCCCCAAAAAATCCCTCAAATGGGGAGAAGAAATGGCAGGTACCGTCTCGCGGGCTGCTGATCTTTAGCAATGCCGGGGAATAAGTTTGCTGAAGCTGTGCAATTGATCTTCGGAGTGTGTTATTTGGTTACAACAGGGGGCCTCATGTTTAGTGTGCCTGGGGCACTTTAACTCATGCTGAATCGCCAGAAACTGCCACCAAGGATCGGTTCACCTCTGGGGCCAGCCTCACGTTTCGCCTGGAGGCGTATGGTCACGCAGGTACTTGGAGCGTCAGAGGACTTAAAAAGAATGCTTTACAGCCGCCATAAGCAGGCAAAAGCCACAATTATCTCAGTTCGTACCTGCTCACTGAATACACTTGAGGAACCTTATGCCTAGAAAGCCGGTTGATTGAGCTTAAAAGCTGTAGAACGGTTTGCAGGATTGCGAGCCTAAACAATCACCATGAAGCTGCTGCCACACGCAGGCCCGAGGTGCTGCGAGGCAAACGCAAAACGTAATTTGTGGCAAGCCCTGAGCAAGGCATCTCACCTTTGGCAAAGCAAAGCTCAGATTAGAGCATATTAATCATATTCGTTCCGCGTCATTTATGTTAGGTTTACGACAGTCAAATTGCCTTTGGCTCTCAAACTTGGCTCCTCTCAAGAATTGTGGCTGCGCTAGCCACACAGAGGTGACACATAAAATGGCTGAAAGTTGAAGACATCAAACCTTCTTGGAGCAAAGTATTGCTAGAGGTCCCCGTAAAATGGTCACCGGAAACTAGTTACACAAGAATCGTGGCGAGAATGCAGATGCTGGAAAGCCAGTTCCAACCAGGCCTGCCGTAGACCGGGGCACCCTCGCCCCCTCCTTGCCCAGGCCCCCCAGGACCCGGAGGTCCTCCTGGGGTCATGTTGATGCCCGGGCTGGGGCCTGTCATGCAAGCCGGATGCATGCAACGTTTGAGATCCATGTCTCATGCTCCTGAAAAACCTGCTTGCCTCAGAAAAGTTGATCTTGCTAATCTGCAGATTCGGAGTTAGGGTGATGAAGAATTTGTGACGACAGAGCCTGTCTTCCCTGAACATCACCTGGTCACCGTAAACTGCCAGGCCTATGCCACCGGGAGGAAGTCCAAAATCCATGGCTGCTACAGCGTCCCGGCTTGGGATGCAAAGCTTCAACTAGCAGCCCCCCAGACACACAAATCCAATCGCTCGGTAGCTCGTTCCTCCATGTCCTCTAGGCATTGTGCTACAGACACAAAACCTCGCACTACACCTTTAGGGCCAAGAAAAGCAATGCAGCAATCTGACAACGTCATCAGCTAGTTTTCTGCAGCCTGCCTGTTGTGTCCTTTCATACTTGCGGCTTTAGGTGGATCTAGTCATTGTAGCTTGCAGTGCGAGTTACTCATCAATACCACTAGCATTCCCCCGAATAGCCTCTCTCATCCCCCTTTTTTACCTGGGAAACATTCTCGGCTACTACGGCGATTGCTGGTGCTTCCTCGCACGGATCAGTAACACGGATATTGTCAATGACTATTGAACACATTTAGGCCCTTACAACCTGTGCAATACAATATCTTCCAGTTAATGAACACACGAAGCCGACCAATGCACTCCGCAAAAGATGGTGGGTTCTGGATTGCTCCAATTTACCGCCACGGAAAGCTCACGTGGTGTTGCCACTGCTGGCACCAGTTTTGGATTCGGCCAACACACACGCAACGGCTGGCTGGCTGGCAAACCTCCCCAACACAAAAACTGCTGTCCAACTTGCAAACATGCTTACACTTCATTTTCACCGTCTTCACTTGGGTTGTGCATTTGCATCGTTATGGCTGCAATTCTAGGAGTCTTTGGTGGGAACAATCTCGCCTGATGATATCAAGCAGCTAAACACTTTCAACCCAAACCTTCCGCAGGGCCGCGCCAGTGTTTTGCTGCACGTTCCGCACCGTCCTGGTGATTTGCCTCTCCCTACGCAAAACTCAGTCTCCCATGTCGCATCCTTCGGGCTGTTGGGATGCGCTCAGGGAGAGGGCAAGGTTTACGTGGAGCCGGGCCTACAGGTAACATGAACTTTGGGGTTTGGGATGCAAAAGTGTGGTTCTGCACAAAGAATAACCACTGAGTAGGCACGTGGATGTTTCTGGGGACGAAATGAAGGGCGTATTTCCGAAACTTTACAAAGCATTCTTTTCCCCCATATAACCCACCAAATAAGCTCAATCATCCCAAGTATTAACCTGCTTGATCAGCCCCCCAGACCATAAATTGTTAACCGAGAAACTCAGTCGGTTTGGAGTTCTCAAGTGTTCAGCGCACACTGCAGGACTTCAGAAAAGATCATGAAAAGAGCGGTGCAAGAGCAGGCACAAACGGGACTTAGCAGGTCAAGAATTCTGCTCTTGCATTACAGTCGCGGGCTTTTTCACATTGGCCATGTGACAGGGAGCCACGGCTGGGGATTGAGGCTGTTGCCCTGCCCGGAACACTTGCCATGCCAGGTATGTCGGACACCTAAAAGAATACATGCACAACGAGGATTACAGCGATAAGAACAGCTTGCAATACTGTAGCGTAGGCCCTTCCCGAAAGTACTCGTTTTTGCAACTTGCGCCCCAAAGTGAAGACACATTATTCAAGCCAATCGCAAAAAACTCTTTTTAACATCCAAACAATATCCGAACGTCACTGGAATGCACTGAAAAATCCCTACGGAAGACAGGTTCCTGGCTGAGACCTTTTTTTGCCCTGATGTCGATATCCACTGTTCCCCCATCCAGCACAAAACTCTAATAAAGAAAGCCGCCCGGGCCCAGGACAAGCGGACCCAGCAAAGCTTCAAAACCGGACGAGGATTGCGATGTGACTAAACAAGAATGCTTACTTGGAGCAAACCCACCACTCTGGACTGAACTTGGCACCCCTGAACCCCACAAACAGCAGATGTGATCCCTGGGAAGGTATCCCTTTCATGCAAACGATCTCCACGTTCAGCTGAATTATGCCTGACAAAAAACCTGGACCGGGAAAACAAGCCTGGAGGTATGGCAGTGAATACTTTCAGTTTGGCAGGCAGACTAGTCCTTTACATCAGCTGACGGCTTCAGACACAAGAAAAATAGAACAGCTGCAGAAGTGCACCCCTTTTACCTTTAGTGGTGTTAGTCCAATGGCAGAAAAGTTGGCAGTGACAGTTCAGTCACTATCAGTCAGACCCAGGCAGAGGCCGACAGAACTTGCAAAACTACGGACCTACAGGCAGAATGAACAGCATCACCGGCCCATCTTGAGTAAACATGACAGACGAGAGATGCAGACTGCGGCACGGGCAGAGGAGCAAAGCTCCAGGCCAAGACGGAAAAGTCCAAGGCAGAGGTCCAGGCGTGCAAGGCAGGCAGAAAGGACAGGGCCAGGGACAGAGCGCGAAGGGTAAAGCCCAAAGGCAGAAAGACCGAAGTGCAGGCGGTGACAGGGGATGGCAGGTGGGAGTCAAAAACACTGCAAGCTGACAGAACTTGAAGCTGATGGTTGCAGGCAGTGCCACTGCTCAGGGGTTGATGCAAGCTAAAAGTTTTAGACCAAGTCTTAAGGTCCACTCTTACTCTAT